TAACAAACACCTCCAATAGCATCTTCTTGCCCCGAGGATATGATATAAACACGATGAAATTACCAATAAGGTCGACAGTCCTATATAAAATGTCCTGAATCTCGCCTTTACGATAGATATCACCAGAATAGCTATTTCTTGCCCCGAGGATACGGTATAAACAACAAGATACCAATAAGAACGAGAATCCTATCTAACACGATCCAAATTTCGCCGTTATGAGACACACACACACCCATTATAGCCCCCTCATGACCCCAGGTAAAGACGAGACAAGACAGTGCTTATCACAAGGTCGAGAATCCCTTCCAAAATCACCCTGACCTCGACCATATGATCAAGATACCATCAATTCATTATAGCATTTTACTGACCCCATATTTAGGTCAATACGTGTCGCATGATAAACTCACCGATTTTACCGTCAATTCCGACCTTAATTGAAACAGGAGGGTGGTATCGCATCTTATTACCCCGAAACTATGATACAGACACGTCATTGTTAATAAGGTTGGAAAGCCTTTGTAGATTGAGGTAAATTTCGTCCTTGTGGAGACATATTGACATTGTTGCATCTTACTGACCCGGAGACCAGCAGAAAAACGTGACAGACAGACAGACAGACAGACAGACAGATAGACAGACAGACAGACAGACAGACAGATAGATAGATAGACAGACAGACAGACAGACAGACAGACAGACAGACAGATAGACAGACAGACAGACAGACAGATAGACAGACAGAAAGACAGACAGACAGACAGATAGATAGACAGACAGACAGATAGATAGATAGACAGACAGACAGACAGACAGACAGACAGATAGGACAGACAGACAGACAGATCAGATAGATAGACAGACAGACAGATAGATAGATAGACAGACAGACAGACAGGCAGACAGATAGATAATCACCAACAACACAGTACCTCTATGGCTCACTAACCTACCTAAAACACCACAACTTTCGACCATCTGGTAATAACATCACTTCAGGATGACATAACACTTTAATGACCCAAAGACAAATATATATACATTACGGCCGAATATCCTCCTCAAAATGCCTTAAAATTGATCCTTGGATAAAAATACTGTTATTATAGCTCTGTAATGACCCTATTACGTAAACACGAGCTATTTATTCAATAAGGTCTATAGTCTTATCCACGAAGCCTTTAATTTCAACCTAATAAGTGATTTTTTGAGTATAGCCCTGTATTACCCCTAAATCATCATGTATTTACATTAAGTACGTAAATCCCTCAGAAAAAAGCCTCAATCTGGACTTTATGATATAATAAGGCAAATATAGCATCTTATTGACCCAATAATACAAAGACGATCAATTAAGACGGAAATCCCATCCATAATGCATAAGACACTCGCCCTTAAAGGTGGAATCATTACCGGGTGGAAGCACGTTATTGATCCCAAGCGAGGAGACGTTACTATTAAAAATCCTTCAATATCCGCCCTTCTGACATTATACCACCTTATTGCCCCGAAACTTTAAGTCAACACACGTCTATGTTGATAATCCCATTCACAAACCCTTCATCAACACCCTAATGGGATTTATACGTCTCATAGCCCTGTCTTGCCCCGAGTTAATAGGTAAACAAGGTTATATGATCACTAAGGTCGAGATTCACGTTGTATTAGACTTTCAATAACAACTTTATGGTGGGTATATCACTAACAGCCTTATATTGCCCCCAAAATCACCAACATATCACCATTAAAGTTGAAAATCCCATCTAAAGAGCTTTATATATCACCCTTATGGTAACCTTGGCCTACATAGCCTTTTCTTGCCTCTCCAAAAAATCTTATAACGAGGCGATACAGAAGCCTGAGGTCATAACCCAGTGTAAAAACCTCACCTATGTCGACCTTATGAGAATAGTTGGCCACATAGCATCTTCTTGCCCCCTGAATACCTTAAAAACACACTTGGTATACAGAAGACTCATAATCCAGTGTAAAAATCATTGACAAATCGACTTTATGACAACAACCACGGCGGGTATATCCCTTTCTTGCTGAAGATAATATAGTTATGGTGTCTGGCGTTAAGGTCGAGTCTCTGTGTCATGTTGCTGGCATTTTAAACATTATCTGCACCACCTGAAGATTAGACACCCCTCGTGATTAGCCAATTTAACCTAACTTAACCTGACCCACCTGACCTAACTCTGACCTGACCTAACCTGACCTTAACCTGACCTGACCTGACCTACCGTAACGTTAAACAAACAATAATAATAATAATAATAATAATAATAATAATAATAATAATAATAATAATAATAATAATAATAATAATAATAACAATAATAATAATAATAATAATAATAATAATAATAATAATAATAATACTAATAATAATAATAATAACACTCACACACACACACACACAAAAAAAATACTCTCTCACAATAAACTCTCTCTCTCTCTCTCTCTCTCTCTCTCTCTAGGCCTAGGAAGAAGAACTAGCCCCAGTAATGTGGCTTAGGGGAGTAATAAGGAATGGGAGGTGATAAAGATGGGAGAGAGAGAGAGAGAGAGAGAGAGAGAGAGAGAAGAGTTAAATGTCTCTCCACACACACACAAGGTATTGGTCCACCCCTCCCTCCCCCTTCCCCTATCCTGACCCTCCTTCCTTCTTCCTCACCCCTCCCTCCCTCACCCCCAACACACCTGTCTACCTGGAGCCTAATTAACATATCACCTTTCATTAACATAACTAAACGACTACAGACAGAGACAGACAGACAGACGGACAGACAGACAGACAGACGAACAGACAGACAGACAGACGAACAGACAGACAGACAGACAGCAGACGAACGAACAGACAGACGAACAGACAGACAGACAGACAGACAGACGAACAGACAGACAGACAGACGAACAGACAGACAGACAGACAGACAGGACGAACGAACAGACAGACAGACGAACGAACAGACAGACGGACATAAACTTTACCCAAGTGGACTAATAACATTAATAACAGCAGTAATGTAATCTAACCTAACCTAACCTGACCTGACCTGACCTAACCTAATCCAACCTACCCTAAACTAATCCTGACCTAACCTTAACCTTCCATCTGACCTAATCTAACCTTGACCCAACCTTACCCTAAACTAACCTAACCTTAATCTAACCTTAACCTGACTCCATCTAACCTAACCTGACCTGACCAACCTAACCCATTAGTTATGTATTACTACTTAATGACCGTGTGTACTGGATTAATGAAGGTAATTAGCCTTGAGGGACTTATTGACATTCCTGGATGGTAGATTGTGGTTAGGTGGTGGTGATGGTGGGAGTGGTGGTGGTTGGTAGTGGTTGGTGGTGGTGATGGTGGTGGTTGGTGGTGGTTGGTGGTGGTTGGTGGTGGTTGATGGTGGTGTGGTGGTGGTTGATGGTGGTGGTTGGTGGTGATGGTTGGTGGTGGTTGGTGGTGATGGTTGGTGGTGGTTGGTTGTGGTGGTTGGTGGTGGTGGTGGTGGTAGTAGGGACATTATCCTCTCTCTCTCTCTCTCTCTCTCTCTCTCTCTCTCTCTCTCTCCCCACCTCTCATCTCTCCCTCACACCAGACCCTCAAACGATAATTAGCTACCTCCCTACCTCATTACTCCCTCTCCCTCCCTCCTCCCTCTCCCTACAACGTCTTCCAAGGCGATGATTGGCACATAAATTACTCGGGAGAAAGTGTTGGTGTCCACTTGATCCCTCCCCTTTTCCCATCCTCCTCTCCTCTCCTTAACCTCCCCATCTCCCCTCTTCCTCATCCTCTTTGCTTTTCTCTCTCTCTCTCTCTCTCTCTCTCTCTCTCTCTCAATACGTGTTTACTATAGTGGTGCCATTGGTAGTGGTAATGGTAGTAGTGATGGTGGTAGTAGTGGTGGTAATTGGTCACTCTGTCAACAAGCCTCTTAGTACAGTAGGCCTAGAGACACAGGTAATGCGCTTTACCTTTATAATGGCACTGTGGCACCCCTCCCCCTCTCCCTCCCTCACCTCCCTTCCTCTCCCTCTCCTCCCCCACTTCTCCCCTCTCCCCGTCTCGTCCGCTGTGGCCAAGGCTATTCATTTGATTATCCACACACACACACACACACACACACACACACAGAGAGAGAGAGAGAGAAAATAGGAAGAAGAGAAAGGGAGAGAAAGGAAGACAAAGGGAGAGAAAGGAAGAGAAGGAGAGAAAGAAAGGAAGAGACAGGGAAAGAAAGGAAAGAAAGGAGAGAAAGGGAGAAAGAGAAAGGAAGAGAAA